TTTTTTTCATTTTGCCAACCCTAAAGTGAATCAGGAAGGAGGAGACGCAAGTCATTCTTCCGTGCTGAAGAGGCCTCGACTCGCGACAGAGCCACTCGACTCCAGTCATATTGTTACACCAAAAGAGCAGGTGAGCATGTATTTGACCCGTCTGCGGTTGCAGGCTTTTGCCATCTCTTGTTGCCTACACCTGATCGTAGCAATTGAGCCGAATTGCCTTCAGAGACGATTCTAAAGGCGCATCTCGTACTTCGACGCATTCTGTTGGTTTGTTGTCTTCTCCCAGCACAGACGAGTCGATCAGATACATCCCAGACCCTTCATTGATGCTGTAAATGGCATCACTGGGCAGACACATGATCAGCACAGCAACGCCTAAAAGAGCTCCTAACAACGAGAGAAAACTCAATTTTACCATAAGGTGGAAGAGGGTTCAGTAGCCGGGCGGATGCCAGTAAAATATGGGCTTGACTACTCGCAGGATTCCTCTTGACCAGCTGTCAATTGGCTTTACTGGAGCATTCTTATTCACGTTGTTTTCGCGGTAGTCTCATTCGATTCCGGTGAAAACGTGCTGAGTTTCGTCCGTCGTATGACGGAAATCGTCAGACCAAGGTACCATCTCCACAATCAAATTCAAGAAGGCTCACCGGCTCATCCCTACAAACCTGTAGATAAACTGTATATGTGAGAACTTGATGAGGTATAAAGTGATTTGGTCGGTTCCAGTCCCACGCCAACCTCGCTCGTGAGTGTGTCGTCTGTCTTTGTATGTGTATGCGTCTGCATTTGTTCTCATAATTATGAAACCAGCATTGATGTCTCAAAGTAATTAGAACAGCAAAAGTAGCGTCTGTTCGCATACATGTCTGGTTATGTTGATGCGTTTTTTATCTGTTTTTATGTGAGATAGGAAGAGTGGACCAAAAATTGCAGAAAAGTGACAAGAAAAGATTAATTCACTTTGTACATAGCACACATACAGACACCCCGACATGTGATTTGAACTAACTAAATCACTTCATATATCACCAACAGAAAATAATTACAGCTTTTAGGGATGAGCTGATGATTTTTCGTTACTTGTTAAAGTGAGATGTATTCACCCAATTTCGTTTAAGGTCATGAAGCACTGGCAGTAGAAGTTTCCCACGATGATATGAGTAGAGCTGACGTTTCCGTTGAATTTCACATCGCTTTGTTTTCCCAAAAGGAAAGCAATGTGGGAAAATTCTACTACCAGTCCTTCATCACCTTACACGAAATTGTGTGGTTATATCTCATTACACTGATTTACTGGCAGTCTCGAAACTCTAGTTATATGTGAAAAATACGTTATTTATATTTGTGCTGATTAGACCCAACCTGTAACATGACAGTAGTCCATCCAGGAAGAAATAAGTGATTCTACTCACAATTGTATTATTTTAATATGTTGGTAAAGTAGAGGGTTTGTTTTTTGAGTTGGTTCTTGAGACTGCCAGTAAATCAGTCATAAGAGTTTTAATCATCCTATTTCGTTTTAGGTGATGAGTGACTGGTAGTTCGATTTTCCCACAATGACATGAGCAGAGCTGACATTTCCATTAAAGTTCACATTGTCTTGCTTTCCTAAAAGTTGTTCTCATCCAGGCGCCAGTGGACTGCAGTTTCGACCTCGCATCGGTCTTATCAACACCTCAGCAGTCCATACTGGATTAGAACAACTTTTGGTAAAGCAAAGCGATGTGAAATTCTACTACCATTCCTTCATCACCTTAAACGAAATTGTGTGAATACCTCTCATATAACTGATCTACTGGTTGTCTCGAAACTCTACTTGCATACGAAAAATCGTCAACTTGAATATGGTTGTGAGGGCTGTGCCCTGTTCTGATGAGGTTCGCCAAAATACAGACGAAAGTTTAGCACATGCTGGAATGGAGAGTGAAAAGGATTCGTAAATTGGCCTCATCGGAGCCTGTATGGAATTGCCTTAGAACTGGGATTGTCGATTTGTGCGAATAAGACCTCTCAGCAACCCCGATGAATCCATGCAGCGCTCCTG